CCAAAATGTTAGGGGGAAATTCCCTGACATTTGCTTTTAGTCTGGTTGTAGCTGGCTTCAGGGTATTTAATTGTGCTTTGTTTCAGAAAAAAAATAAGCAAAGTAAAACAATCCATGTAATCCCACAGGGACCTGTCAAAGGTCTAGGGCTAAGGGGGAAGGAGGAGGATGGGAACAGAATGATGACACACTGCATCTGTTCCAAGGCACCTCCTGGAGTTTCAGTTAAGCAGTTAAAACCCATTTTATCCACTTTCTGACACAGCAAACAGATGCACTGCCGCTCAAGATAGACCACACACGGCTTGCTCTTCATTTTTCATAAAACTCTAGAACAGTCAGCGCTTCCTACTGAGACAGGGTAAAAATATAGTGTAGAGATTTTCAAAAGATTCTTCACTCAGAAGGTTTCGCTGTGCTGGGTAGCATGGAGAAACTGTCAGTCCAATGGAGGATGAAAAATGCTTCAATCCTGCATCTTTCAGCTCTCCCACAGGGACCATTTCTAATTGTATCTCTGACTGATCTTCATCCCCCACCTCAACGGTGTTTTTTTTTTCTCTCTCCAAAGATAGGTGTATACCCTTGATTAATTAAGCAGTAAGATGATAGGGACCAAATATTTTTGTTTGTTTGTTTCTGTATTTTATTTTTGTTTTCTTCTTTTAAAAAATCATTTTATTGGGGGATCTTACAGCTCTTATCACAATCCATACATATATCCATTGTGCCAAGCACATTTGTACCATATGTTGCCATCAGCATTTTTATACCTCAGCCCTTGGTATCAGCTCATTTCCCCCCCTTTCCCCACCTTCCATCCCCCATGAACCTTTGATAATTTATTAAAAAAATTTTCATATCTTACACTGGCACCTGTCTCCCTTCACCCACTTTTCTGTTGCCCATTCCCCTGGGAGGGGGTTACATCTAGATCATTGTGAGTAGCCCCCTTTCCTCCCCCCACCTTACCCTTACCCTCCTGGTATCGCTACTCTCATTATTGGTCCTGAGGGTTTATCTGTCCTGGATTCCCTGTGTTTCCAGCTTTTATTCTGTACCAGTGTACATGCTCTGGTCTAGCCAGATTTGTAAGGTAGAATTTGGGTCGTGATAGTGGTGGGGGGAGAAAGCATTAAAGAACTAGAGCAAAGTTGTATGTTTCGTCAATGCTATACTGCACCCAGGCTGGCTCGACTCTTCCTGTGACCCTTCTGTAAGGGGATGCCAATTGTCTACAGATGGGCTTTGGGTCTCCACTCTGCCCTTCCCCTCATTCACATCAATACGATTTTTTGTTTTGGGTCTTTGATGTCTGATACCTGATCCCATCGACACCTCATGATCACACAGGCTGGTGTGCTTTTTCCATGTGGGCTTTGTTGCTTCTCAGTTGATGGCCACTTGTTTATCTTCAAGCCTTTAAGACCCTTCAACTATATCTTTTAATAGCTGGGCACCATCAGCTTTATTCAACACATTTGCATATGTACCCATTTTGTCTTCAGTGATCATATCAGGAAGGTGAGCATTACAGAATGCTGGGTTATTAGAACAAAGAATGCATAAAGAAACTAGGTACATATACACAATGGAATACTATACATCCCTACAAAACAGTGATGAAACCATAAAACACCTCATATCATGGATGAACCTGTGAACTGTTATGGTGAGTGAAGGTAGATGATCACAAAAGAATAAATATTGTATGAGACCACTAAGACATGCACAAACACCAAACCAAAGGCAGGAACCTGGTCTCAGGTTGTATAATCTCCTAATCTCATCTCCCAAGCAAGGAGGTGATGTGCTTTCCTAATGCTCATGGTGTACCAGTCACCCCTTATTTGTAAATCTTAACAACCACTTTGACCGACGAGGGCTCATCATAGCTTGGGTCAAATTCTCATGTTGGGGGCAGGGAGAAGGAGAACATCAATCAGTTCCTACGATATAATATTGCTGCACTGTCAAACAACTCAACAGACACTCCTACATGGGGACCTCACAAACCTTAATGGAAATTCAAGCCCAGGGGGCGTGGAGGAGGAATGGCTCTATACCTTTGAGAAGAAGATGATATGGCCAAGCCATGTAGGGCAACTTGCTGTGGGGAAAATGCTGGACGTTACTTATATAGACACCCTGCCCCCGAGGGGAGAGTGCACTTGGTATTATGTTCCTGAATGGGCAATTTTGACCTAGTTTCTGTCTAACCTTTGGTGACCTAGTCTGTGTTCTATTGACAACTGGGATGTTAGGCTCTGTTCTTTTGAGGTGCACAACATCCTTCATAGGCCTCACCAGAGGCTCCAATTTGGAACCCCCACTAAACAAACTGGATTTTATTTCAAACTCATGTGTAGAAGAGTTAAGGAACTGGAGTACTCCCTTAAGGCTCGGACCGAGACTCCCTACTCTGAGAAGAACCAGGTGACTGCCACTCCAAGGCT